AGAACAGCCTCATAGACACCTGGGCCAGAGAGCACGGCATTGAGTGGGTGTATCATATCCCCTACCATGCACCAGCTGCCGGGAAAGTTGAGCGGTGTAATGGACTACTGAAAACCACCTTGAAGGCGTTAGGTGGGGGAACTTTCAAACACTGGGAGCTGCATTTGGCAAAGGCCACCTGGCTGGTTAACACCCGAGGCTCGATCAATCGAGCTGGCCCTTCCCAATCAGAACTCTTGAATACTGTGGATGGAGATAGAGTCCCTGTGGTCCATATGAGAGGTATGTTAGGAAAGACTGTTTGGATTAGTCCCACTTCAGACAAAGGCAAACCCATCCAAGGGATTGTTTTTGCTCAAGGACCTGGTTGCACTTGGTGGGTAATGCAAAAAGATGGAGAAACACGTTGTGTACCACAAAGGGACCTAATTTTGAGTGAGAAGAATTTGTAATGTTTTCTTGTATATATACCTAGTTAAAGAGGGGATTAATTTGGGAATGACTAGATGGTGTAGAATAAGGGGTGGATAATGTCCTAGTTCAACAGGAGGAGCCAGTTATCACTGTGTGGGGGTGATCAAAGTTATGTATTCTACCCCCTCTATTCATTTCCCAAGGACAATGGACCATTTGCAGCAGCTGCCCAGAAAATTGTTAGCACCTTCGCACCCAGCCTGAGGGGGCGTGGGTGCTAATGGGCCATCAACGGGTCAACAATACCCCATGACTCACAGAGTTAATCACGCATTGTGTGAGTCCCCGCCCTGGGGGAGGGACTGGGTGCTCTCTGAGGGGATATAAGTGGGGGGTAAGAAGACCTTCTCATCTCATCTCGTCGGATCCAGAGGAGCGGCAGGACCCCGACAGGGGGAAACCACCGCTCTCGACCGGACTACGACCATCACTCCTGATCAGACCACAGCCATCATCTACATCAACAGGTTCTTCACTTCCTTTTGCTTTGGACTTGGGGGAACAACGTGGGCCTCAGGACAAGGGGCTAACCAACCTCTTTGGGCTTGTGCCCAGGGACACTGGGTTATACTGCTGGATTTTGGTGAGTTGAAAGTAGTTTTCTCTTTGTGTCAGTGTATTTATTGTAATATCTTTCATTAAATTGTAACTCTGACTTATAACCTCTCTTGTGGTGGGTCCATTTCTCCTGCCGGTTTACCTTCAAACCAGCACATAATTTGGCGCCCAACGTGGGGCACGAGAGAGAAGTCAGAATTACAATTTCATTTTAGACACTTGTGTATTTGGGAACAGAAACTCCATCATCTCCATGTTGCTTGATCTGTTCACGTGGATGTTGTACCTGAGCCTGTTCATATTTCCTTCTATGGGGAATTATGTGCCTATTCTGATGTTTTTTTTAAGATCAGGGATAGGGATCAAAATTGCCTTACTTATATATTATGTTTATGTCATCATGACATCAGATGCAGTGAGTTTCATTGTGAATATATATTCAGTCTTGTTTGCCTGTCCTGGTTTGGGTTGCTACCTCTTGAGCCTTGGTAGAAATCACACCCAGCCTGTGGGGGGAACAGGTGGGGATGGTTATTTTGACCCTTTCACCTCCTTCCCCTTTAGACCTGCTAAAACGGTATTTGAGAATATTGAATTTCCTTTTGATATTAAGGATAGCATAATGTTGTTGTTGGTGTTGCTTTGTCTTGTTTGTACCATATACAATATGCTTAGGGGCAGAACGGGGCCTTCTAGGGAGGTTTCCTGGAGGCCTGCTCTGGGAGTTGATAATGCTGAGTGGCACGGAAAGTGGGAGGACATGGCCCAGTACTTGGAAAGTTTTTCCCCTGAAGTGATCTGGAAATTCACCCCTGAACAGCTGCAGGATCCTGACAAAATAATAAGCTATGTGAAAGGCAAATGCTCTGGCAGTCCCAGGGATGTGCAGCTCACAGCAACTTGCTGGGCCCTGGCCACTGCCTACCGGGCAATGCTTGGTATGGTACAGCACCACCAGGAGGAGGAGAAAAGGAGCAAATCCACAAGCACCATGTCCACTCAAACAACGA